TGCCAATCGCTCTACCGAGAGCGATTGGCAAGCGACGACGGACGATCGCGATCGCTCCATCGCTTGGTCCGTCGCCAACTATGACGTCGGTCTAAGGATTTGTTAAATTCAGCCGAGCGATGGGCGGTCGCTCATCGCTCGGCACGATCTCCGAGTCTGACGGACATCTTAGGCTGCTTTCGTAGTCTGCGCTGTCGCGGACGCCGTCCGTCTGGTCCGTGTGGACCGCACGGACAGTGCGAAGAGCGTCATCACGCGCTCTGGCGCACCACGCATTGACGCAAGTTTGACCCCTTACGCGTCATGCACCAGTGCGCGTGCTGACGCGCAAGATGGCCTTGGGGAGATTCAGAGTCCGCGGCTAGAGAAGAAACGCGAATAGAGTGGGAACGCGACCTTCGTTTTCATAGTTCGCCTTTTTTGTTTCGTTCAATATGCCGACTTCTGAGCATTAGAAAGTTAAGGTCCGAGAAGAATGCAACGCCTTGGTCAAAAACTCGCCTTACTGATCTCCTGGAAGGTCTCACAGTAGAGGTAGGACGTTCAAATTTTAATATTTGACTTACTTTAACATCATTTTGCAGTCCTTTGCAAATGATTTCTTTTTCAGGAAGGTCCCGTGTGTGTAAAATTGGAATCAATAAAAACGCTTGAAGGGGAAGCTACTGCTAATAACCGTAAAGCAAAGCTTATATTTCTGTATGAGTGGGAAATCAAAATCGGGTTCATCGGTATGTGTTTGAAATTTGATACCATTTTCTTGTAAACCAGCAAAGTTTTTTTCTATGTTTGTTGGTCATTTAAGGGCGCTTTCATAGTCGGTCGTTCTGTCATAACGATCATATAGCATTAGGTTTGTATCGGTCATCCGCGTTACGCCCAGTGATCGATACGCACCTAATGTCGTGCGCTTATTACAGTCTCTACGATCGGATGACCGACTATGAAAGTTTGCTAAGATTTGTCAAGGTTTGCGTCGAGAGGAGTGAAAACGCGTATTGAGGGGAAAGTCGTAGTGAGGCAAAATGGAATCGATTTATACTCGTGGGCCGAGGATTAAGTTACCTTCATTTTTATATATTACTTGTTGATGAGTCATTTTGGAGAAGGCGCTTCATCCTCGGCCCGCGGGTATCAATCCATCACGTTACCTTTTGAACCGCGTTTCCTTTCGCTACGCGTTTTATCTCGATGCGGACTCGGACACGGCTAGAAGATTTTGAAACCAGCATGCCACTCAAATGATGTGTGACATTGCAGGACGTGTAGCGGGTTCAGATACTGAATATAAAGGTACCTTGGAAATACCGAATCTCAGCGATGAAAATGATGCAAGTGAAATTGATGTGAGTTTTTTTTCCGCATGAAAAAAACCTTCAGGCTGCCATTGCTAAAATTCGCTGTTGCAACAAATCTTACTCGATTACTCAAGCTCACCCAAGATCGGACTCATTTTCAGTTTAAAGAGGCTTGTCCGCTCTCCTCTCAAAACATTGTGAAAGTTGTGTGGGGCTTTTTTTGTTTCTTTCCCATCAGTGCTTTACCAATGGGAACATTCGATGGGGTATTTGAAGGTTTTCAGAATTGCAAAAGCGTACCTTTTTTCTAGCTTTCTATCTGGTTGCTGATCCACGTCGCTATTAACTTTATTTGAGGTAGTACTGCTCGTATGCTTGCCCTGTTTCACCTAGTGTGCTCGTTTACTTCAATTTCTATGGTCCGTCACAAACTTGGAACTAATTCTTTCTTAATCCTCAATATTCACAAATGTAATCTATGTGTAAGGCGATATTACCGTTGGCTTGGACCAGAAACTGTGGAATAAATGGAAAGATTCCTCAAAATTCAAGTGTTGCGTAATTAATTCTGGGCGTGCTTTAGCAATTAGAAAGATTTTTTTATTGAACTAGAAGGCCGCCGTTATAGTTTGCTATTTTGCGATTTCTTTGGAATAGATAGAGGTCGGTCATCCAATCCCACGGTTACCTGGTTTATGGACAGTTCAAGGGCTGAGTTCAAGTAGTCCGTCAACCACTGAATTTTTTCCATTCTTTCAGCTTTTCTAACAAATCTTTCTCTAGGTGAACGTATCTGTGGACACCAAAGGTCCTCACGAAGCTGCAATAAGGGAGTTGCTGAGCAAAGCTGGAACCGAAAAAATCCGGGTCATTTGAATTTCTTTTCTCTCAAATATTTCTTTTAGGGTTTCTTTCTTTCTAAAATATCTATTGTAACGTGCTTTGCAGTTACATTCAAGAAGTATTTATAGGCTGCGCTTGATGTATATATACGTGAGCTTAAAGAGGAATTTAGTAAAGGTCTCATTCTTCCGACAGACAAAGTCAAGCCTCAGGTAAGTGGTCATGGGTCGATTTGTTGTGCATTCCTGGCAAGTCATTCAGCGAGTGGGGGGGGTGGAATCTTCAAATTGTCGTAGTGTACATTCAAATTTTCGAGATTTGAGAGGTTTGATATAAATTCGAAAAAAAATCAGTGAAAGTTTTCCGCTCCATGTGGAATTTGACAAAAATGATCTAGCTGTATTATAATACAAAAGATTTCTGGTGGGATTCTGAAAGTTTGTGAATGTTCCAGTTGTTCTGACACACGTTTATGCATTGGAAATATCGTTTGCAAACAAATACCAAGTTAGTGAATTGAACCGTAAGATTATTCGCCATCTGCACTCATTCAACATTTTCAGGTTGTAACGAAAGGAAAGACCGCTGTCGTAGATAAGAAAAGCTTCCAAAATATGGTAAGTGATTGAAAGCGTGCTTCAGTCTAAATTTCTTTTTACTCCTATTCCAGGTCATAACTGATGACAAAAGCAACGCTCCAAAAACTGGTATGTTAAAATTTAGGCCCGCGTTCATAGTTTGCGATATTGTGTCTGCCGTTTTGCGATTTTACGATTTTTCGTGAAGTAGGTGCGTATCGATCTGTTCTTATGATCTCACGGGAAATGCATGGTTGAGGCGCAATGACTCTAAACTAGAGTGCAAAACGACCGCAAGACAGTCGCAAAGTGTGACCATAGCCTTACTTCTTCTGACAGTGGATAGACAAATATTGTTTGTTAAGTTGAAAAGTTCGACGTGAAGTCAGTGGAAATAAGCGAGTCATACAAAGTGCCTCCTGATCGCCTTTTCGAAGTTTTAAGCGAACCTAATGTGAGTTTTGCTTTTTATTCATTACCAAAAGAGCAAAGTCTGACTCAAAATTCATTTCCTGTTTTTTTTTTTAATCTTTCTCGAAGTGGCATTATATTCTCAGAAACTTAACGGAACTACAATAATTGATTCTGAGTGAAATTAGGATATTGGAAAATTGTTCCTGTAAGCGTTCTCGTAGCCATACAGCCAAACCCACTCAATCTCTACTTTCGGCGTGTCATTGCCTTTTAGGGGGAAGTTGCTCGGTGCACACTGAAGTCAGGTTTTGCTGTTTCTATTTTAATTACTTCATGTCCTGAAACTAGTTGAAGCATTTCAATGCAACCATCCTTCATTAATTCCTTTGAATTGTTTTCTACAGGTTTTCCCATATTTTTGAAGAGGGGTAGGCATGTGCAGATTTCTTCTAGTTCTTTCCTCATGAGAGCTCTCGCTCTATTAGAAACTTTTCTGTACAATCTTTTTTCGGCGAGGCCCGTCCTTCATCCAAGTTTAAGGATTGGATTGCTCACATTAGTTCATATGATGACGTTCCGTATTACCGTTTCGGTTTTGTTTTATGAAAGTCTTCCGGAGGAACATACACCCTTCTTCGATCAAGGCCACATCTCTGCTCTCCTTTTCAATCAGACATGATCTGCCTACCCATTTTCCATTTAGACCTGCTCAAAACCATTTTTTTGACATGTGTGTGCGCATTCAATTTTGCATCTTTCAGCCCTTTGAGTCGTCGTATTTACAATAGCAAAATACACCTTTGTCAGCAGAAAGTGAACCAAGCGTCTACCGTTCTTGTTCTGTTTGTTGCGTTTGCGAAAGGGTTTCTAATGCAATCTAGCGTGCTTTCTAGTTTATTGAATGTGACGCTATGCGAGAGTTGAAATGACTACTAACCTAAGAGCTTGTGCGTGCATAGTCGGTTGCGCCCGTCCCGTACCCACTATTTTTGCACGCTGTCATTTTCTACAGGTCAGGATTTGGAACTTATGTATGGTCAACCTGCGAACAGTTTTCCATTGAGTAATATTTTGGAATTGGACAGTCACTGCATAATTTTATACGTGATAGACGCCCGCGCCGATTCACGAGCCGGAAGTAAATTAATTGAACCCTATTTTTGGAAACTGTGGGATTTCGCATTTCGAAATTCATGTTAAAAGAATTTTCATCGAGTTACTTAAGAAAATGCGTTGTTTCAGTACGTCCGGGTGTGGGCGAATGGTAATGTGGAGTGGGATTTCAAACAAGGTGGAAAGTTTGCTCTTTTTGGTGGCACCGTCACGGGAACATTCGAGGAAATTGTAAGTGAAAATTGCTATAATATCGTGCAGGATTTTGAGCAGAAAATTCTGAGATTTCTAGTGAAATCTTTGGTTGTCGAACTGATCCACTTGAGCTGTCTTTTCTTTTTACAGAAGACCAACGAACAAATCACCATGTCGTGGAGGTTGAAATCTTATCCAAATGACCATCATGCTAAGATCAAGTTTACGCTGAAAGATGAGGTAATTCATGAGTTTTGCTTTTTTATTACATTACATTACATTACATTACACATTTGGTTGCTGTAGTCGTCATCGATGATTCTTTCTTTTATTTTATTCGCGGAAGAGGGTAATTAGCCAGCTTTTTTGACATACTTCCTTATTCACATGGTAGTTAGGCGCTTGAAATGAGATGTGTTCTTTAAAGAGCAGGTGTTGATTGGAAATGTTCTCTTCATGTCAATTGAATTAAATGAACGATGTTAGAGAAGTTTATTGACAAGCCACGCTAACGTTTTCAAGGTCTCTTATATTGGATAGATGCCAGTTCTTAGAAATCATGGATATCCTCGGACTTGCTTTCTTTTTTATTGGATTTACTAACTCGTTGTTCAACCTTGCAATATAGCGGTTCTTCCTTGTTCTTCATTTTTGCTCTTGGGGGATGATAAGCTTCCTTTTTATAATAGCTGCGGATATGAAAACGGCACAGCGCGCAGCTGCGAATATTTTTGAGATTTTTGTTTGGTTGGAGAAATCTGTCTTTATGACATAAATGTTTGTAATCACCCACGAAGTGGCAAAGTCTGTTCGGTGAGTCGACAATTTGTGAGTGGGATGGTCAAAAACCTCTTCAACTTTGTTGCTTTCATAAGAGGAGATACGTTTATTACAGAGTGATTCCACATCTTTGACTGTGAATGCCGAAGGAGTGCCATCACACATGGCAGAAGAGACTCGCAATGGGTTAACTCGTTACTACCTGCAGTCCATCGCTCGCTCATTTGGTTTCAGTGCACGTATAAACTAAGTTGAGCAAAGTGATCGCGTTGGAGTTTCAAATATGTGAGCGTTTCTTTATAGTTGTTGCAGATGTTATTCAAATGTGAAAATTCAGTAGTACTTGTCTGGTCTTACTCCATTTTTAATCTCGTTTCTACTCTTGTACTGTACATTTGTTTCGAGATGGAGAAGCAGTACCATCAATGTGTTTTGTAGTCAAGACTACGTGAAAAACTAGGTTTTCCCATCACTCTTGTTTTTTGGGTCCGCACATTATTTTACATCAAAATGAAGGTCATTTGAGACAACTTTAATAATCTTTTGGTGATTGTTTCTTAAAATTTCATTTTTTTGTGACATGAATTGTAGGGATTCCTGTGAGGTTTATTTAAGTAATCGTGACACTAGTTCTTGAGTTATATCTTCGGAAATGCTCAAGCGCATCCATATTCAGGAAATATCTCGATGCAGACTGGTTTGTTTTCAATTGAGAATGTGAACTAGTTTTGGAAGCAGTAGTTTGGGGCTCAGTTGATCCCGAGCCCGGGTCAAGCATATCGGTAACAAATGTTGTGTGCTTTACAAAACACGGCACCCAATTTAGTTATACCGCGCCGAGGGCGGGGAAGAGGGCGTAACTTGCATTTTCGCTACCATAATGCCACAACTTTTTCGTCCATTCGGCCTCCAAAAGCCTGGTATTTTGCAACTCCATCCGCAGATGTTACCAGTTATCTGCATTTAGTAGAATTTCCACCCACCGCGGAAATTATGTTTTACATCAGTTTCCCGGAGTAATCGCAAGAGCTAGTTTTTTTTGTTAAGTGTAGATCTTAAGCTTTTTCGATTCTCTGCCATGCTCGCACTACGTTTTAAATAAATGTACTTTCGTAGTTCTCTTCACTGTGTTTCATTTTTTCAATTCTTCATTCCCATGAATTTCTCAGCGAGGCGTGAACACCGGTCAGAGTTAGGTAATGCACGCTTGCACAGTCCATATCTCGAAGTCTGATTGGGCGTGTCACCGGAAATGACGTGGCAGCCACCGCACTTGATAGATGTTGTGTGGATAAGCTACACGCCATATCAGCAAAGCATGTGGAAGCAGCTTATCCGCGCAACTTCTATCAAGTGCGGTGGCTGCCACGTCATTTCCGGTGACACGCCCAATCAGACTTCGAGATTTGGACTGTAAGACAATGATCACCTGTATGGCACGTCACTAAATCGGCGGAGGCTTGAATTATAAGTTTCTGAGAGAATAATTATTCAGAATTCCTGAATATATTCTTCATCATGAAATTCGGAAAAACGAAAGGATACTCTTTCATCGCAATTAACGGTCCTGGAGGGATCTGTTGTACCCAGGTCATGAGTGTTGAATATGCGAAATTCTCTCTCCGATGTTCCACGAGCGCTGCTGCTCTCCGCTACTGACCTGAGATGTTCAAGTACGATCAGTGGGGAGGGGAAACCGTCTGTAATGTGGTACAAGGTGCTATATGACACTGAGTGTTGGCACACACTATGAGAGACAGCTTCACTCTGCTGAAATTGAGATGCTGATGGTGAGAAGGGTTTGCGGCTAAATGCATAGGGACAGGGTCCGAAAAGAGGGCGTCGTGGGTGTATGCGGATTACCCAGGTACAAGGCATTAAGCGATGACTGCAGTGGTATAGACGTGTGTTGAGAAGGCCAAACAACCCGATAAAGAACGAACTTATTGTTGGAT